TTGGCGGGCCTCCTCTTCTTTGAGAGAGTCACGCTCCTTTGGTTGACGGAGGGAATTGGTTGAACTCAGCTTGATCCTGGTGGAGGTGGTGAGAGCCTCACGCCGACGCAACTCTTTGGGTCACAATCGGATGAAGTCGTCGTTGGTAGCTTCAAAACTTCTTCGTTACCAACGCACCTTTTGCTTGGATAGAGAACTTGACTTTTTAGACTTGCGAGGGGAGGTTAGGATCTGGACGAGTTGAAAGGTCTCCTCGAACTTTTGTTGGTCAAACTCATACTCGACCTCCTCCTTCTACCGGATCGGAATCCGCGGCTGCGACGCATCGATCTCAGTCAGTCCGAAGATCGTCGGCGCTCCAAACACTGTGCGTCGCCAGATTAATTTCGCTTCCCCGGAAAAATTGTTGTCTTTCTTCATTAAATGATTCCATTGTACACTCTTGTAAAGTCTATCGATTACAAAGATCCGGTATTTTATAAGATCTCGATTCAACGAACATCAAATTGAAAAGAAATGAAAAATTACAACTGTAGTTTCCTTATTTGTCCGAACGAATCACGAGCTCCGTTTTGCGGTACGGCTCGCTTTTGTGGTTTTTGCCTGCGCCGGGGTTATTGCGTGGGACCACCGCGCCATTCTAGATCCGTCGGATCTACGCCAGTACAACGGGTTATTATTTCACCAAGGAAATAATGCCGGAGGGATTTGTTTCACTTAAGGAAACAATCGGCTCGAATCTCGGGAAAATCAAAGACCAAGCTTTGATTCGGAGTATAGCAACTAGATCTAGATCCGCGTCCTCTCGAACACCTGCCTTATTTGGCGCTATGCGATCGCCGACACAGATCTGACAGAGCGAGTCCTCGAAGTCCAAAGCTTCATCTTTATAAGTTCTGAGTCTCCATCCTGCCAGGGGCTTCGCACTCTCCCAAATCCAACCTTGAAAATGAACAAGCTAGCTATTTATAGGTCTCTGGACCTGTGCCCTTCGCACAGGGAAAACGTCGGCCATCCTCTGGATGGCGCACTACTGTGCCGAGCCACCTTGAGGTGGCTTCGGCTCTTGGCCAAGCCACCCCAAGGTGGCTCGGCCACCCGAGCCACCCTGAGTGGCTGGGGCCTCGCACGATGCCGCCAGCCGAGCACCTAGGGTGGCTTGGCTTGGCCGAGCCACCCTGAGGTTGCCGCGCCACCCGAGCCACCTCTTGGCCGAGCCACCTTGAGGCGGCTCGGTTTGGCCGAGCCCCTCTGGGTTTGCTGTTTTCCGTCGTTTTGTGTTGTGTCCGTTTTCCGGTCTTGTCCGTGATTTGGTTGATTGAGACTTTGATTTGTTGATCTGATTTGGCAGTAAGTCTGATTCCTGATTTGGCAGTAAATCCACTTCTGAGTTCGAGTCCGAAACTGATCTTGATTCGACCGTGATTCGTCCGAGTCTGTTCCCGGTTGGATGACTCGTTGATTCTTTAACACTTGGCTTGATTCCGAACGCGTATGGATTCATTCCGTTGTTCGCGTGCGATTTGTCGATCTCGTCACCTCGTTGGTTCGTCGGTTTGTGCCGAGCTGTGCTAAGGGACCTATAAGCAGTTTTATATGCCTACAATAAGCACCATCTATTTCTGGGAGTCTACTTTTAATACCAAGAAAATATCTAGGATCGAAAGGACTATCGGCGCCTATAAGCGTCAAAAATTACCTATAGGGTATCACACATAACTTAAGATAAAGAAAAGGCGATAAACGTCATTATCTAAGTTATAAAAGATCATCCAAAGCCAAAGATCAACTAAGGAATGTACAAGAAGCACATCACACAAGTTTTGAGGCACAAAATGTGTCTCATAAACTATGAGAAGACTCATAGTTTCCAAGACAATTGCGATTGTCTTAGAAGCTATGAAGGTAAATCATAATTTTCAAAACACTTGTGGCTGTCTCAGAAGCTATGAAGGCAAATCATAGTTTTCAAAACACTTGCGACTGTCTCGTAAACTAGAGTGAACTTGGTGACGGTTTTCTTGAGTTTTGGGCGATCCACGTGGCTTCATAACTGCTAGGGACCATAATTATGGGGGAGATGTTACAAACAAAAATCACGCTAATAACTGCCAAAATAATAGCATTAAAATGTGGTTTAAGCAGTTACAAAATGGGCAGAAACGAGTCCTATTTTCAAGACAGTTGCGAGTGTCTCGGAAACAGAGGTTCTTCGACACAGTTTCTTTTCAACTTCAGACTTTAGTTACGGTTCTTAGGGATTATAAATACTCTTCTAGGACCATTACTAAGTTGGACAGAGCATTATTGAGTAGAATAGAGCAGAGATTTGAGCATTCTAAGCAAGAGAGAGAGAATCTTCATCGTGTGCAAGCCTTTCAGAGCTCTTACGATCTCTTAAGATCTAAGCTTTGACTTAATCTCGAGAAGAGAATTTTATATTACTTTGCTAAGATATTCACTTCTGTCTTTGTTTCTAAAATGAAACATCGACCTTAAGCCTTCTTTACAGCTCAACTTGGATCTATGATTCGGTCGTCCACGGGACTAACGCATCCCCGACACAGACAAAGATCCCACACAAACATCGAACGATAAACGTTCATGCGTGTATTTCTAGAAAGTTATTTGTTTGTAACGAGAAGTCTTATAAAAAGATTTATTTCTTAGAATTCATTGTATTCGATAAACGAGTTGTAATGAGTTCAATAAATAAACTAATTTTTAATGCAAACAACATCTTCTTCATCATTTCCTATGATCATACTAGTCATATCGATCGTAAATTCCTAGAGATTAGCTTTCCCCTTTCAAGCACATTGCCACATCTTAATCCTAGTTTCTAAAGACCGATTCCTTTGCACTGGTAATTCATTTGAATTTTCACAACGATTTCCTTTAGGGTTACACAATGCTGACATGGGAGTGCCCTCCTAAGAGAAAGGAACTCCCTTAGTGGGGGCTCTAACATGGCTTGGGAAGTTGCTCTTCTTGAGAGAAACTTTGCATGCTTGGACTTTAACAAGCAAACGTCGCCTGTGACGATGTTGTTTTGATCTTCGACTAGTATGGTTAGTCAAATTATCATCACCAGTCGAAGCATGTGGATGATTTATCAGAGGAAATGAATTCCTTGAACTTCACTTGGTCAAACTCAATGACCGACGATTAAGCGAAAGACATTGTTAGACTATAACACAACCTTCTCTTTGGTCGAGAAAGTAGTCCCCAGCGGAGTCGTTATTCTATTTCAGGTCTTTTGAATTACAATTAACATAGATTACAATTCAAAAGGAACTACAAGTGAAACAACAAAGTTTATATATAATCCTACGACAACTTCTAGTGGTGCATATGGATGGTTTGTCAGAGGAAATGAATTTCTTGAACTTCATTTAGTCAAACTTAATGACCAGTGATTCACCAAAAGACAATGTTAGACTGTGACACAACCTTCTCTTTGATCGAGAAAGTAGTCTTCAGCAGAGTTGTCATTCTATTTTAGGTCTTTCAAATTATAACTAACACAGATTACAATTCAAAAGAAACTACAAGTGAAACAAGAAAATTTATATATATCTGGGTTTTTCTGTGTCGATGGAGCATTGATCTTGTACTCCGTTGATGGTCTGACTGACGCATTAAGTCTTCTACTGATTGATGATTGTTAAAGCCCTTTTGAAGATGCTGAAGTCTTCTCTGGATATTGAGAAACTAGCTGCCAAAATTATTAAAATCCAAGATGCCCAAAAAAATGAGCAATCTTCCCTTCTTTTAAAGGCTATGTGAAAGAGTTAGTGACCATTAAATGTGGATTTAATGACTATTTATTTAGAAGATAATGAGGAAAACTCTTTCACATAGCCTTTAAAAGAAGGGAAGATTGCTCCTCAATTTATCTTGTACTTCGGCTGAAACCTACATTGTTCACTTTCTTTCTTGTGTTTTTTTTTTACTTCTTAATCTTAATAGACTCCAAACCGATCATTTATTATACAAGTCCTCCGGTTAATAAATATTTAAAATTAGTCCCTCAAATCTTTAAATATTTTGAATTACTCCTTGAATGTTCAAATTTTGAAATTAATCCCTCAAGTCTTTAAACATTTTGAAATTACACCCTTAAAGAGTTTTTTCACATATCAGTTCCCAAATTTGTCATATATTTATATTACCCTCCGGATTACTAAATATTTAAAATTGGTCCCTTAAATCCATTTTAAAATCACTCCCTCAACTATTCATATTTTCATATATTTATATTACCCTCCGGAGTACTAAATATTTAAAATTGGTCCCTTAAATCCATTTTAAAATCACTCCCTCAACTATTCATATTTTGAATTAGCCCTCATACCTTTAAATATATTGAATTACTCCCTCAAATGTTCATATTTTCAAATTAGTCCCTCAAATATTTAAACATTATGAATTACTCACTCAAATAATCGTTGGATTTATGTTGTAAGCAATTTCTATGTGATAGTGGGTACCTTCACCACTTTATTATGTTGGCAAAATTTTTGTCCTATTTGACTAGTAAGTATGCAATGGTGACCACAATATTTTCATTTTTTAAATTTGAATTGAACCACACTAAAGAAAATAAGGAAAACTATTTTTCATATCACTTACTTTGTCCATTTCTAAAGTTGAACAAAAATAAAGAAAGTGATGAAAATTAATTTTATCTCATGTTTCATAGCAAAACAAATAGTAAAAATACTTTGCCAAGAAAACCAAGAAAACTTCAGGAAATAGATTTTCTTACATTGAAACATATAATCATAGGAAGCAACCAAACAGACCATAAAAGATAAAAAAGATAACAAGAAAAAAGTTGTTTTCGTTCCAACAAATGTAATGTCAAGCTAGCAATTGCCATTTAATTATATACAAACATCTAATTAATTATTCTTAATTTTGTGCGTGGAAGTTAGCGAAAAGATCCCTTTGATTGGAAGGGAATTCCGAGGGAAGCACAAAAATTAAAGAAATGGAGGAATTGCAGGAAGGGAGTGCAAATGGGTGGAGTGAGAAGCGCCCTCTATTAAATAAAATTATTAACGAAAATAAATTACTCCTTGTCTTCTTTGGAGATCTCAATGGAATATGACCCGTCAACCGAAGTGATCGGGGAGGAGAGAAGGGTAAATATATTCATTTCTACTCCTTTATGTTTCAGTTTCTACTGCTTTTGTTGGGCTTACTGTGAGCTTTGGAGAGAAACCAGATCAAGAATTGAAGCAAATTTTTATCTTGCGAAACTTTTTGATGTCTTAGCAGAAAACCCAGATCAAGATGTGGATCAAGTTTTGATTTTGAAGGTTCTTCTGGATTTTTTTTTGGTGGAGCGCAGATTGTGAACTTTTTGATTTGGGGAATTATCAGATCGGGATAAAGGAGTGATTTTGCCGTCGAATATTGGTACTGGTAAGAACCTTTCCCAATTCAGCTTGTTGTCTGTCAATTTCAGTGACATATTTGATTTTATGATTTAGGTTAACTTTAGTACCATTGGAATACTAAGGAAGTGAATCTAGTTGTCAAATTGGTTATCTGGTATACATAAGCTAAGAATTTTATCTCTCTTAAGCAGAAGAAGTGGCAGCAGGAGAGAGGAGAATTTTATTTATGTTCTCCAATTTCCGCTAATTTAAATTAATTTTTTATGTCGTTAGTAACCTTAGTGAAGAAGATCTTGGAGAAGAAGTACAATATTTGGAGATGTCGGGAGTTCAAGAACAGCTCGAGATAAAGTTTCGGCTGCATGATGGGTCGGATATTGGCCCGAAGATGTATCCATCTGCTACTTCGGTCGCCACTCTCAAAGAAAGCATTCTTGCTGAATGGCCGAAAGGTTGGTATGCTCATGCCACCCTATCCATTTCCCAACTAGTTGCTGTTTTTAGAAAAAATATTGTTTGTTAATATTTATGAAGTTGCTTGGTGTTATTTTGGTCTGATTGAGGGAGGATGATTTCTCTTCTCTCTAGTTATACTAGTTCAGTACTATAGTATATTTTGATTTATCTTTTAAATTTCAGTTATCTGATTTTCTTTTTTCCCCTTTTCTAGAATAATTTTCTGTGAAATTTTAATGCATGGATATAAGAAAGGATGTTACATATGTATGGCAATAATTAAAGTATGAAAAGGTCCTAGATATGATGGCTTGATGAGTTACTAAAATGATTGTTCTAAGTACTTTTATGCTTTTGTATTTGTGGTAGAGAATGCTGGTGTTTAACTGGAAGATGTATACTGTTTGAATATTGTTAATGAATAATTATGCTAATAAGGCTGTATTAAGTTGTAATGAGATTTAGTAAATCTTCTATCCAAGTGTGAAGAAATATCAAGCATCAAAGAAGCAGAAGTTTGAAGTTAATCTTATCATGTAGGATTTTTCTTCCCTAGTACATCTGGTATATTATATATACTTTAAGTACATGTTTAAATATTTAGTATTTCGTAGTATACTTGCAGATCCACTGCTGTTGGAACCGAAATTTTAATAATCAGTATTGACCTTTCAATGCATTTTATTTGTGCACCTAACAATTAGGATAAATGAGGGAAGAGGACCACTATTACACTTCCTTTTTTAATAGTAAGAAGAAATATTCTTGTAGTTATTCCCTTTATTCAGGCATAGGAATATCATAGGAAACCCAATAAGATTCTAGTCTGAGGTTGGAGAAACGAGGAAAGTAAAGCTATTATAGTAGCAGCATAGGGAAAATCAGGCTGCACACAGGAATTTGGACTTTTCCACAAGAAAATTAGTGTAGCTGGATTGGAAAAAGGTTCTCGTTTTGTAGGTTGCTCAGTCAATGAAAAAAAACCTTTTTTTTTGGCATAAGTAGAATGCTATTTGAGGTACAAGAATGGCCATTTTGGTGATGTTTCTGTAGGGTACATGTTTCCAAAGGGTTAATGAGTTCCTTGAAAATGTGGTAGTTTGAATATTTAGACCCTGATGTGTATGAAGATGGCAATGGGAGAAGGAAAGAGTAGAAAAGACAAGGGAATGTCTTATGAAGTTCGAGGTAACGTTGATGTTTTCCATCAATAGGTGAAGCTGTGAACATTTTCAGTTAGAGAGAAGGTTCATGTTTCAGATTTATAAGTGATTCAAGGGGTCTAGCCTAGTGTTTTTCATATACTCTAAATGGATTTTGAGATTCCCTCTTAATAGTTTTCTACATTTGGTCCAAGAGTAGGCTGGAAAACAGGTATGGTAAAGAAAGCGGATGGGATATACTCATGTTTAGTATAGAAAGTGAGTAAGAAATACGCACTTTAAAAAAATAGGGAAAAATAATTGAATCTTTGAAAATCAGGACTACTGAATCGTGTATTAAACTCATAGCTTAGTTCTAAAAGACGGGTGTGAAGTCATATCTATCTATGTCTATTTTTATTGGGTAACCTAATTGTTCACACATGAACATAACGCAACAAACTTATTATCTATTAGTACCAAATAACGAATAATTTTTCTGTTATTTCATTTTTTTACCTAATGGTTAAAGAGGTTCAATAGCAAAGATCTATAGTTATCAAAAACATCTTAGTACTCACAACTTATTGGATTATCGAATATTTCTTTTTTAGACACATAAAACTGCGTTTAAAAAGATTTTGTCAAAAGAACGAATTTTTTGGCCTCTCTTATAAACAGAGTTTTTAAACATAGAAGCACCAAACAAAATTTTCTTTTTCTTTTTGTTTTGAATGGAGTTCTGTTAACATTGATACAAACTAGGCATTGTTTGTTGTGATTTCATTTTAACCAGTATAGTGCATGTGTTGCACGTGAATGTACTTGTTTTATGTTTTGAATTTTTTTCGTGTAGAGGAAAATGAGGAAGTGAGTTGAAGGAAAAAAGAAAGATTTAAAGTAAAGCATTGGAAATAAGTTTTTGAGTGTTTGCATATAATAATATGAAAATTTAAAACTGAAATGAGAAGACATAGTTTGAATCTACGTGAATCAGGATGGATGATCAGTTGACTGATTAGCTGTTATTGACTTTTGGAGGCTGAGTTTGGGTGCAATTGTGCTTAGATGAATTCATATTCTCGCTCTTCATTTGCCTTCATCTTATCAGTTACCCTCCTGAAAAATGATATTCTTTTATCTGTACATGTATCATATGTTTGTGACACTTAGATGTTCCATCCTTAAAATTGATCATAGTCACCTGCTAAGCAACCAACCAAGTATTCTGATTTCATCAAATAAGGGGCCGTTTGGTTGGTTTCCTAAAAACCAAGAAAAGGAAATCGGTACAAGAAAACCAATAAAATACCTTAAGTATGTGTCACATCATCCAATAATATACCTCCAACTCATCTCATCTCATCTATTTTCTTATTTTTAAAAATGAACCAAACACAAACAACCTCAAAACATCATCCAATAATATACCTCCAATTCATTTCCTTATTTTTTTAACCAACCAAACAACCTCAAAACAAGTTTTTTTTTAAATCACGCACATCATCCAATAATAAGGTGACAACTCATCTCATCTCCTATTCTATAGTTTTCTTCTTTTTTAAGCCAACCAAACAACCTCAAAACAATTATTATAAGAAATAGGTTTCCTATTCTTTGATTTCCCATTTTTTTTTGCGAAACGAACAGCCCCTAAGGTAAGATTTACTATTTTTCATACATCATTTACTTTTAAACAAAGTTTACACCTTTAAAAATGTTAATATATAGAATTATAAATTTATTAATTATTAATATAATTGTTGGCAATTCCTACTATAACGTTATTAATTACCAGTTATTATAGAGCTTAGAAATTAACGATTGACAAATTATTTATTATATAATGACCAATATGTCATATGATTACCAATTTATACATAATTACTACTTCAACCACTGAATTAATCATAATGTTAAAAAAATGATAATAATTACCAAAATGCAATCATTAAATTGATGGTAATGTTAAAAAACGATATAATTTAACTGCTAGTAAGCAAATTGTTTAAAGTTGCTCTTGTCATCATAACTTATTAATAAGCTGTGTTTGTAGAAATTTATGTAATTTAATGATAATTCAGAGTTATTAAATGAAAATTTTAATGAGAGATTTTGGTAATTTTGGATGCAATTTGGAGGACATTGTTGAAAAAAAAAATACTTTAGATGAATAATCTAGAAATCAATTGAATGGAAATTTGAACAAGAGTTAATTAGTATAATTATCCAATTTAATTTTTTTTTATTAAACTAACATGTACGATAAACTTTATAAGGACTTGATATATATGTTTGGTATCGTTTGGATATATAATTTATTAAATAACACAGCTATTTGATGTATATTATTATAGTTAAGAAGCCTTTGTGGATTGTTGTAACAAAAATAATACCCGATTCATATGAAGTAACACTATATAAAAATTAATAGGATGCCAAAAAGTTCACTAGATTAGCCTATTTGAAAATTAAGAACATTAAGTTCAAGGGAAAAGCCAAATGATACCAAATAAATGTAAAACAATTGCAAGAAATTTAGAACGGCTAATAATTTGGCTCGATTTATATAGAAGCATTCTAAAATCGTCCAATTAATTGCTTTAACAATTTGGTTCCATATTCATTTTCTTTTTCTTCATCTGATTCTTAATCTCCATCTACTATCTTTTTGCCAGGTTCAATCTCATTACTTTTAGTTGTAATAACCATAATACAGGAATCTACCTCTTCAAGTTTTCATATCTCTTGAGTTGTTATACAACCTTCTCTTCAACTGCCTTTATCCCTACTGATTGCCCTAATGAGAAAGACATATTCCCTACCGTTACATGCTACCGTTCGTTTGGAACACTCTCGTTCCTCTTCAAGATTGAGTACATAGTCAACTCCTGAACAATCATCTATTCCACTTCATTAAATAAGATAGCATATCTTGTTCCTTTTCTTTCATTTACTTCTAAACAAAGTTTGCCCCGTCAAAAAAATGTAATTATAGCAAAACTTGAGGACCGAATTGTAACTTTTGCATCATTAAAATCCTAGACTGAATGGAACTTCACATTTCTCGTATATCTTCAAACATGTATATTCAAATTATTACAAAAGTTTCATATCATTTATATGTTAATTTTACAAGCAAAAAGCAAAAATGAAAAGTTTATACTAATTTATTCGCATTCATATTTTTATTCAATGATTTCTTGATTATTCAGCTGAAATGTTTTTTCCATGATGCCTTCCAAGTTGCATCCAAAATCACCAAAGTGGCCTCACTCAATTACTTCAAGTTCTTGTTCAGTTATATAAATTTCTAACAACACTTAGTCTATTGATAATTTAATGATAATACCAATTCTGTACAGTTTGTTAATTTATATAACCGTCTAACGTTATTTGTAATTTACTAGTTAACTTGGTGATTATTTCACAAATTGGTATTCATATAGTAAACAAATTGCTTATTGTAAGTGTTATTAAATTAATTTAATAAAATGATAATTAATAATATTATTGTAGTAATTACTGATAATTATATTAACTGTGATAATTTATAATTAAGGTACTAACATTTTTAAAATGTAGAAACTTCATTTTTAGTAGTGAATGACATAAAAGAAACAACATATGTTACCTCATTTAATGAAGCGGAACACTTGTTTGGTTACTTAAAAGTTGATTGTATGGTCAGGTTTGAAGATGTAACATCTGAGTGTTATAAACTAATGATGACATATAATGTTAAAGAATATGTTTTTATGAGCGTAAGTGATAGGATTGAAGCCAATAAAGAAACATGAGTATGTACTAACCTAACCACAAATTTACCCATGCTTGGCCGCAAAAGTAAAAAA